CTCTATCTCAAAAAAAAAAAATTGCTCTTAACAACAACAAAAAATTGGGCGGCGCCTGTGGCTCAGTGTGTATGGCACTGGCCCCATATACTGAAGGTGGTAGGTTTAAACCCGGTTCTGGCCAAACTGCAACAAAAAATAGAGCATTGTGACAGGCCCCTGTGGTCCCAGCTACTTGGGGAGGCTGAGACAAGAGAATTGCCTAAGCCCAAGAGCTGGAGGTTGCTGTGAGCTGTGAGGCCACGGCACTCTACTGAGGGCAGCAAAGTAAGACTCTATCTTAAAAAAAACAAAACAAAACAACACAAGCCAAAATGTGTGTTTGAAAGAATGAGGATTTACCTTCACAATAAAATAAAACAAAAAGTATCAGTGCGAAATGTCAAGATATCAGCGGTCAAACTTAGTACTGAAGGAAATTAGACACTTCATACTCAATAACCTAATATATCACATCCATTTAGTGCTGGCATTATTGTAAGCACTGTATATATTTTGACTAATCTAACAGCATCTTGCTGTAAGTTTTGTCACCCATTTTTCAGATGGGAAGTTGAAACATAGGTTAAGTATTTTATCCAGGATGACACAGCTCGTAAGTTGGGGCATCAGGATCCAAACCCAGGTATCTAGCTCCAGAATGTGTGCTCCCAACCACTGCTTGGGGTACTTAACCTTGCTGTTGTCTTTGATTGCTGAGTTGCTAGTTGTGCTGTATTTCCTTGGGCTGTTGTGTCAAAGTACCACAAAACTTGGTGGCTTAAAAAAGAAATTTAGTTTCTTAACAGTTCTGGAAACTTGAAGTCTGAACTCTAGGTGTTCTCAGGGCCATCCTCCTTCTGCAGGGTCTAGGAAAGAATCCTTTCTTGCTTTTTCTAGCTTCTAATGCCCCAAATATTCCCTGGTTTATTGGCAGCATAAATCAAATCTGCTTTCCTCTGCCCCTCGGAGACCAATCTAGCCGTTTTCTATTAAGTGCCTGGAAATTCTTCCAGCCTCTTCTCATTATTTAGTTCCAATGACATTGTTAGGTGTATGTTACAGTAGCACTCCACTTCTTGGTACCAAAAGTTGAGAGTTTGCTAGTACTGCTGTTACAAAGTACTATAAACTGCCTGAGTGGTGGCTCATGCCTGGTAATCTTAGCACTTTAGGAGGCCAAGGTAGGGAGCAGGTAGGTGCAGGCCAGGGGATGGGGGTATTTCCTGAGCTCAGAAGTTCAAGACCAGCCTTAGCAACAGGGAGACTCCATCTAAAAAAAAAAAAAAAAAAAAAAATCATTGGATGTTGTGGCAGGTGCTTGTAGTCCCAGCTATTTGGGAGGCTGAAGCAAGAGGATCCTTTGAGCCCAGGAATTTGAGGTTGCTATGAGCTATGACACCACAGCACTACCCAGGGCTACAGAAGGATTCACTGCCTCCAAAAAAAAAAAAAGAAAACAAAGTACCACAAACTGAGTGTCTTAATATAATAAAAAAAAGAAAACAAAGTACCAACGTCTCGAAAAGAAAAGAAAACAAAGTACCATAAACTGAGTGTCTTAAAATAAAAACTTACTGTCTCTCAGTCCTGGGGGCCAGAAATCTGAAATCACTAATCAGCAGGCTTGGTTCTTTTTTTCAGACTTTCAAGGAGAATCTGTCCCATGCCGCCTAGCTTCTTGGAATCCTTTATGTTTTTTGGCTTGTAGACAGACATACCACCCCATTCTCTGCCTCCATCTTCACACTAACTTATTTCCTGTGCATCACTGTGTGTCCTATCCTCTCATAAGGATATCAGTCACTAGGGCCTAGTGTGGCAGCTCAGCCCTATAATCCCAGCACTTTGAGAACCGAGGAGTTTGAAGCCAGTCTGAGCAACATAGTAAGACCTTGTAGTGCATGCCGGTAGTCCCAGCTACTTGGAAGGCAGAAACAGGAGGATGGCTTGAGCCTAGAAGTTTGAGGCTATAGTGAGCTGTGTGACCATGCTGCTGCACTACAGCCTGGGTGACAGAGTAAGACACCATCTCAAAAAAAAAAGATGGCCAGCCATTGGATTTTAGAGATAACCCTACTTCCAGAATGATTTCATCTTTACATTTCTAAGTAGTTATATTTGTAAAGACCCTGTTTCCAAATAAGGCCATACTGTGAGGCTTCATGTAGATCTGAATTTTAGGGGACCTTTTGCTCTTTTCTCTTAATTTGTATATATTTTTATATAAATGAAACTTGAAACACTGTTAGTCATTAACCTTCTATTTGCCTAGCCTGGGTAAAAGCCAAAGAAGCTTTAAAATGTAGACATATATATGTTTGCTGTTACTTGTGCTTCGGTCAAACTGTCTTCTTCCTGCCACCCCTGTGGGTGCCTCGAGAAAGTGTGCTAATTAGTATCATTAGGAAAGCCTGGCCAGTTTGGGTGAAGCTAAGGTAGGCCTTGTAGGAACAGAACTTCTGTGCAAACTCAAGAACTAAATATAAGTACAAATCAATGTATTCAGGAAAGCTGTTGTTACTTCTACAATTAGGACAAACAATTTTGATTGTATAAACCAGTGGTTTTCTACCCGAGGGTCATGACCCCTTTGGGGGTCGAACAACCCTTTCACATGGGTCGCCTAAGACCATCCTACATATCATATATTTACATTATGATTCGTAACAGTGGCAAAATTACAGTTATGAAGTAGCAACGAAAATAATTTTATGGTTGGCGGTCACCACAACATGAACTGTATTAAGGGGTTGTGGCATTAGGAAAGTTGAGAATCACTGGTATAAAATGTATAAATAAGCCTAAGCATTTATTTGAAAAACAACTTTTAGTCTGGGCTTGGTGGCTCACGCCTGTAATCCTAACACTTTGGGAGGCTGAAGCAGGTAGATTGCCTGAGCTCAGGAGTTTGAGACCAGGTTGAGTAAGAGCGAGACCTCATGTCTAAAAAGAATAGCTGGGCATTGTGGCAGGTGCCTGTAGTCCCACCTACTCAGGAGGGGGATCACTTGAACCAGAGAGTTTGAGAATGCTGTGAGCTATGAAGCCATGGCACTCTGCCAAGGGACAAAATGAGACTGTGTCTCAAAACAAGAACAAAAACAAAAACCTTTTCTTTGAAAGCAATGTTTACCTTTTTGCTACTTCCTGCTGGTAACAAATTTATTCTTCTACAACTTTAAGAAGAAAAATACTGAACTTTACCTTACAATGGAAAACAATGTAACCTAAAAATTTGTAGCCTTACAATAGTTTGAAGGAAAAACCATTAAGTATTAAATGTAAGAAAAAAGAAGAAAAGTGTTATGTTAGTGTGAATACTGTATTAGTTGCTATTTTTCAGATTTTGGAATATTTGTGTTACACTTACCAGTTGGGTATCCCCAGACCAAATATCTGAACTGCTCCAGTGATCATTTTCTCTGAGCATCATGTTGCTGCTCAGACATGTCAGATCCTGGAGCACTTTGGATTGCAGATGGTCAGATTAGGGATACAACCTGTGTCCTTTTATGTATGTATGATTTAATATATCTTTTCTTTTTTGAAAATTACTGAGTGATTGATTCTTGGATTTCTGCTAAATTTTTATTTACTATTAATACTTTAGTAATAATATTAAGTATTGATCATTAATGATGTACCCAGGCACTATGATAGATGCTTTATCATAAATCCTTTAAGTCTTCCAGTCGCCCTGAGGCAGGTATGCTATATCCCCGTTTTGTGAGAGAGATAAAATAAGATGGCCCAGAGACTCAGAGAGTGTGTCTTGCTCACATCCACTTATCTCATAAGTTACTGAGCCCGTTTTGAGCCAGATCTTTCCTACCGCCCAGTGTCTCAGTTCCATCAGTTTGCCATTGATTAAATAGGAAAATCATACTCTCATGGGGTACCTTACACATACTCCTGAATTCCTTTTGAGTGGGAGAAGAAATCCCATTATATATATTCCCCTATGTCTTGTCTTAATTTGCCATGGTTTTTAAAGTTCGTGACCATCTCTGTTGACATCTTCAACCCCATTAGAAGGGAATGGAACTTTAGGACAGTTTTAGGCGGGAAAGGAAGCTATTCTTTTTTTTTTTTTTTTTAGGAAGCTATTCTTCTTTACTCCAGTTTGAGTTTTGATTGTCCCATAAGAAAAGAAAAGGGATAAGACATTATTGCTCAGTTGAGATGACTCCTCCAAGGACCAGAACTTAGCAAAGCAGTTATACCTTTTTTATTTTTGAGACAGAGTCTCACTATGTTGCTCTTGGTAGAGTACCGTGGTGTTACAGCTCAGAGCAACCTCAAACTCTTGGGCTTAAGTGATTCTCTTGCCTCAGCCTCCCAAGTAGCTGGGACTACAGATGCCTGCCACAACACCAGGCTACTTTTTGTTGTTGTTGCAGTTGTCATTGTTGTTTAGCTGGCCCGTGCTGAGTTCAAACCCATCAGCCTAGGTGTATGTGGGTGGCGCCATAACCACTGTACTATGAGCGCCTAGCCAGCATTTATACCATTATGATGGAGGTATTTTTAAACTGTATTATAATGTGAACCTACTCTCTACCTGTACTGAATATAGTTTAAGCACTTCTGGGGGCTGGTGGGCTCAGGGGTTAAAATTCTGCTCATCATATTGTTACATTCATGATCCTAAAGTTGATTGATAGATAACTGAAACTGTCCTCTACCGAGTCCTCTCAGAGGTCATCTTTCTGTGTGTCCAGTTTTTTAGATGTCTTTTTTTGCTTCCATACTAATACTTCTTTTTCTGCTACTATTTCCAAATTATTTTATCCTAAGCTTCTGTAAGCTAGAACATCAAAATAATTAGAGGTTGTACAAATGAAATAAGAGTAAATCAAGACTGAATGTGCAGTGAGGGGATTGCTTGTGAGCACATGTGTTGAGCTTTAGTGCATATACTTTTCTTTACATATTTTACTTTTCACTGAGTAGATGAAGTTGTCAGATATGTGCCATTATCTTTAATATATAAAGTCTGTTTTCCTTTTTACAAACAGAGAAGAAGATACAGAAAATGAAAACGAAAAGAAAATTTGGTACTACAGCACAAGGATTCAGCTTGCAGAATTAATCGACTGTCTAGACAAAGATTATTGGGAAGCAGAACTTTGCAAAACTCTAGAAGAAATGCGTGAAGAAATTCACCGACACATGGACATAACTGAAGACCTGACCAATAAGGCTCGGGGCAGTAACAAATCCTTTCTGGCGGCAGCTAACGGTGAGAGGGATATTTTTTGATTTTATTTTTGTTAAATTTGAGTTCAACTCTTGGTATGAAATCATTACAAAATTTGAAAATGCAGTAGAACCTCTGTAAGATGATCACTTTAGGGAGTGTAACAAACTGGTCAGCATGCAGAGATGGTCAACGTAAGGACTTAAGCCTAAAAGTAATATACTGATATATACATGTGGTGCATGTCTGAAATTTAGGTCACCTACAGAGGAGGTCAGGGTAGGGAGGTGGTTAACTGTGGAGGTTCTACCATATATAAAAATTTCCAAGTATAGTTATACAGTGCTTAACAACAGGGATAAAGTTAATTGTAATTTCATCATCATAGAATGTACTTACACAAAGCTTTAATTTCAAGTATCTTATTAATCTTTTTTGTCAGTCCTGTTTTTAATTATAAGAAATACTAATTGTTTTTGAACTTCCTCTTTCTTTTTTAAAAAATAAAACCTTTAATTTTATAATAGTTATAGATTTATGTTGTGCTTATTGGTTACTCCAACTAATAAACTAATATGGATACACTTTTTCAAGCTCTAGCCCATACTTTACTCAGATATCCTTAGTTTTTACCTAATGTCCTTTTTCTGTCTTATGGTTCCATCCAGTCATTGCGTCTTCCTTTAGGCTATTTCTCAGACTTCCCTTGTTTTTGATGACCTTGACAGTTTTAAGGAGGAGTGGTCAGGTATCTTGTAGAGTGTCCTTGTTATGGGTTTTTCTCGTGATCATCTTGTGGTTAGCCTGGATTGATAGATATTCTAGAGGAAGACTACAGAGGTGAAATGTAATTCCCAACATCATATCAAGGTTATGCTGTCACCATGACTTGTCACTGATGATGTAACCTTGATTACCTAGTTGAGGTAGTGTTTGTCAGGTTTTTCCACTATAAAGTTATTCCTCTCTTTAGCCCCCTCAATACTGTGCTTTTTGCAAGTAAGTCACTAGACACAGCTCACTTTTAGGGAGCGGGGGGTTAGGCTGTATCGCCTTGAAGGACCAATTCCAATTATTTTGGAATTTTTCTGCATAAGAGCTATGTCTATTCTCCATTTATTTTTTCAGACATTTATTTCTGTTAGTTATACTGATGAATATTTTATACTTAAACTTTGTTGCTCACCTCTTTTTTTAAGTAATAAATGTGTATGATATTTTCTAAAACCATATATGGTAAGAGTCTGTCTTTTTCCTTCATAATTCTCTGTCTCACCTTCCTTTTTACAGAGGCAATCATAATTGCCATTGTTTTTTCATCCTGCCAGGTAGACTCTGTGCATGTTTAATAAGTATCACTTGTACTTTTTTTTTCTTGTAGAGACAAGAGTCTTACTTTATTGCCCTCTGTATAGTGCCATTGCATCACACAGCTCACAGCAACCTCCAACTCCTGGGCTTAGGCGATTCTTTGGCCTCAGCCTCCCGAGTAGCTGGGACTATAGGCGCCCACCACAATGCCTGGCTCCAGTGATCCTCTTGCCTCAGACTCCCCATTAGTGGGGAAGACTTTTACCTGCCACAGTGCCTGGCTATTTTTAGAGATCGGGTTTCTCTCTGGCTCAGGCTGATCTCGAATTGCTGAATTTAAGCAATCTACCCACTTGGCCTCCCGGAGTGCAAGTATACTTTTAACTACCTGGTTCTGCTCTTCTACGTACATTATCTGCCATACATAGATACATACAATCCTCTTAATTGTCCCCTCACTCATTTTCTTAAAAATAGAATGTTTATATTTAATAAATATATTTAGTTCAGTTATATCCAAACTTGTTTGCACATACTCTGCACCTGTATTCTTTTGAATTCATGGATATATATATACACACACACACATCTATATACATCTCTCTCTATATATATTTTGAGACAGAGTCTCATTATGTCATCCTCGGTAGAGTGCTGTGGCATCACAGCTCACAGCAACCTCAAACTCTTGGGCTTAAGTGATTCTCTTGCCTCAGCCTCCCAAGTCCAAGTAGCTAGGACTATAGGTGCCTGCCACAATGCCTGGCTATTTTTTTTGTAGTTGTCATTGTTCTTTTAACTGGCCTGGGCCGGATTTGAACCTGCCAGCCTTGGTGTATATGGCCAGTGCCCTAACCACTGAGCTATAGGCACTACCCTATGTCTTTTTTTTTTTGTTGTTGTTGCTGTTTTTGGCTGGGACTGGGTTTGAACCCGCCACCTCCGGCATATGGGACCAGCGCCCTACCCTTTTGAGCCATAGGTGCTGCCCCAACTTGTGTTATTTCCTAATATGAGTTCTGCTTTGGAATTGGTGCAGCACAGACAGGTTGAAGTATCAGTGAAGTGTTTGGGAAGGATGTGGCTAACTAATGCACAGTGTATTAATGATTTGAGAAGTTCTGTTCTGTTCTGGTGATTTTTATCTTAAAATAAAATGAGGCAATGAATTAAACATTGAGATAGAAGACTTCTCTGTTAAGATACTAGTCCATCACTGGTACCTTTATTTACAGTCTTTAGTAGCCAAAATCTTGGGTATAATAGTCAGTTTAGGGCCACCCAGTCCCAATTAATACCCCAGATAATATTTGATGATGTTTTTAACTTGAGATTTTATAAGATGAAAACAATATAAACTACTTGGGTTTGGTAATAGCCCAGAATACTTTGTAGCATGATAACAGAATTTTGAGAATCATAGCCAGTTGTGATGACTTCAACTCGACATTAACCTCTCAAATAATATAAATCTTCTCAAATTTATAGCTCTCCGATTTTGATATACATGTATGTCTGCTTTAGGAGAGTTTAATTCTATTTTTTGTAGTTAAGTTTTTATTTTCCGTTTCCCCTGCAATATTTTATGAAAATTCAAATATACGGAAAGTTTGAAAGAATTATGTGATAAACACCTAATATCTGTTGTCTAGATTTTATTTACTATGTATTTATAACTTTAAATACACAATTTACTAAACTTGCCTTATTATTTGCCTTTATGACAATTATGGTTTATAGTGCTTATTTGAAGGAAGTGTTTTGGAATAAATTTTCCTAAATAGAGATGGTTTTTAAAACTTCGTAGGTTAATTCTATCTATTTAGTTTTGAAATGTTCATGCAAATATAGAATACATATGTTTGAAGAATATGCATATTTACTACAAATACAATATTCATTCATTATTTTTTTATTCTTTTTTAACTTAATTTTTATTAAATTCTTTCACTTTGATGAGTTTCTCGCCCCTTAACTTTTTTAATGTTTTTGTTTTCTTTCTTTCTTTTTTTTAAATTAAATCATAGCTGTGTATAAAAATGCAATCATGGGGTATAATGTGCTGGTTTTATATACAATTTGAAATACTTTCATCAAACAGGTTAACATAGCCTTCACAGCATTTTCTTAGTTATTGTGTTAAGACATTATATTCTACACCTAATAAATTTCACATGTACCCTAGTAAGATGCACCATAGATGTGGTTCCACCAATTACCCTCCCTCCACCCATTCTCCCCCCCCTTTTTTTTTTATTTGAGACAGTATCAATGATTATGTGAACATGTAATACAGCTACACAAAAATTTCCAACCACAGGAACTGCAACTCACATATTTTCTGTCCTCTTTACCATCCAAGTCTTCCCAGCATCCCTTTGTAAACTATTTCCTAGCACCCTTATACCTATCTGTACTGTCTTTACATTCTGATTTACCCTAGCTTCATTTACCCTGGACTAAGTAGACTAAATTTTATCAATGACAGTATCTTAATCACAATTTTTCAAAGAACTTTTTATTTTGGAAAAAGAAAACCTTGTTACCAATTACCTCTTTTTCTTACAGGCACAGATTTCTCAGTTTCAGAAACAGTTACATCCTGATTTTCAATTGTCAGCTTTTCTAAGAAACCAAACCATTGTACATCCTCCCCACTTTCCTACCTCCATTTAATGAGAAGCAAGCAAAAACCATTTTAAAATAGCCTTCTAAGTTTACGCCATTTAAGTTAGATGAAGAGCACCTTTCTATGAATGTTCTAATTCCAAATATCCTATTTTGCTACCCACTTTATCAAGTATTCATAAATTTATCTGTGCTGGTTCTACGTTCAAAAAATCATGGCAATTATAGCCATCAAAAAAAAAAAAGACATCAGAGATCGGCACCTGTAGCACAGTGGTCATGGAGCCAGCCACATGCAATAAGGCTGGAGGGTTCGAATCTGGCCTGGGTCTGCTAAATAACAATGACAACTGCAACAAAAAATAGCCAGGCATTGTGGCAGGTACCTGTAGTCCCAGCTACTTGGGAAGCTGAGGCAAGAGAATCGCTTAAGCACAAAACTTTAAGGTTGCTATTAGCTTGACACCATGGCACTCTACCAAGGTAGAGTGAACTACATATAGCGAGAGTGAACTTTTTCAATAAAAAGTTCATTGAAAGGCTTGGTGCCTGTGGCTCAAGTGGCTAAGGTGCCAGCCACATACACCTGAGGTAGTGGGTTCGAATCCAGCACGGGCTGCCAAACAATGACAGCTGCAACCAAAAAATAGCCGGGCATTGTGGTGAGCGCCTGTGGTCTCAGCTACTTGGGAGGCTGAGGCAGGACACTCACTTGAGCCCAGGAGTTGGAGGTTGCTATGAGCTGTGATGCCACAGCACTCTACCCAGGGGTACAGCTTGAGGCTCTGTCTCAAAAAGAAAAAAAGATACTCTCATTGATAAAATTTAGTCTACTTAGTCCAGGGTAAATGAAGCTAGGGTAAATCAGAATCTAAAGACAGTATAGATAGGTATAAGGGTGCTAGGAAATAGTTTACAAAGGGATGGTGGGAGGACGTGGGTGGTAAAGAGGACACAAAATAGGCAAGTTGCAGTTCCCATGGTTGGAAATTGTTGTGTAGCTGTATTACATGTTCACATAATCGTTGATACTGTATTCTTATAAGAATTGGAAATAGGGAAGGTAAGAGAGAGTGGGGAATTAAGTCCAACTAGCGCAGACATGATCACTTTACCATAAAGGTCATTGTTTTCTGGTGATGACATCATAAGGTTTTACTAATTCTGGGCAACAGGCTGGATACCTGCAATTTAAGAAATACTTACCAAAACGAAGAGAACATTTAAACAAAGGAAACGTAAATAAGGAAATCCAAAAAGGAGTACCACAAGTATGCATCATGTAAACAGTGTTTCTTCTTATTCACATTGTACTCTTAATTGGTAAATTGACTTCTCTTTAGGGTATAGTTTGGCAGTTCTGAAACTACATTACCATGTGTACTAGGATTGAACAAGTAACTAGATATATTGCAGATCATGAGTGCCAGGTTTCTGGCTTACAGGGAAAGAAGTTACAAATAAGGAAGTAACACTAGAATGAACCCACACTGACACACATGTCAGTAACACAGAACCACATGGATACATACTCCCACATACAGATAGATACAGAAATAACATAGATGTGTGTATTTATGGGTTAGTTTTCTTCTGGCTGACAGAGCATAGATGCAGCAACCTCTCAGTAGTAGGAAGTATACCTAGCACCCAGATGGCATCTTCTAAACACTACTCCCCCCCACCCCCTCAAGTAGGGCTCCTTGGAGAGATGGCAGCTTCTAGGTAGGCCTGGGGCATCTTGTAATGCGGGAATGAAGGGAAGTGCTGAGTAAGGATAGATGAATAGAAGTGTCAAAAGGACTTAGGAGTCTGAAAATGTCCCAAAAGGCCAAAGCTGAACAATCAGTATAGTAAAATTTAAAATGATCCTATTGGATTGTAACCCAAAGACTAGAATTACTATCTATGAGTTCATGAAGATTTACCTTGTGTTCTGTACCCTCTGGTTCTTTCTGTACCTGTGGCCTGAACCGTGCTATAGTATCACACTGTCCAAGTTAAAAGAAGGTAACACCATTAGGGACTTAGTGACTTTCAGAACAGTTGTGGGACTTCAGAGACAAAAGTTGTTTTCACATGGGTCTCTGTCTTCTCATTTTACAGTTGAGGAAATAGAGGCCTAGATAAATTAGGTAGCTTGCTCAGGGTCACACAGCTAATTCAAATCAGATCTGTACTTTAGATTTTGATGATTCCATAGTGCTGCCTAGACTGAGTCTGCATCACTTTGCAGTGTTTTTTTATTTGTTTTGAGACAGAGTCGCTCTGTTGTCCCAGGGTAGAGTACTCAATCCCAAATTGGTTGAATTCTCTAAACAAGATGTTGTTAGTAATCTTGATTTTTATTTCATAATTCTAATGCTTTTAAAATATTTAATTTTTTCTTTAATAATTTATGTGGTGGTATTTGTGTACTTCTGTATTTGGTTATACAAGAAATAAAAATTTTTATTTGTTTTCATTATAGAAGAAATTTTGGACTCCATAAGAGCCAAAAAGGGAGAAATTGATTCTGTTAAAAGCCCAGAAGAAATAGAGAAAGAAAAGAATGAGACCGAGAATGATGACTCAAAAGATGCCGAGAAAAGCAGAGAGGAATTTGAAGACCAGTCCCTTGAAAAAGACAATGACGACAAAATGCCAGATGATGATCCCGAGCAAGGAAGATCTGAGGGTAAAAAAATTACTTGGTTAAAAAGAAGTATTGTGTCAGTTGTTTATGAAACCTCCAATTTTAGTTGCAAATGAAAATTAAATTGTGTATTACACACAACTAAATTTTTATATTTCTAAGGAGGTTAGGATACCTTCCCCCCTTGTAATATGCATAAGAATTGTAATGAATTTATATATTAGTGGATTTGCTATTATGTTGTATCTCTTTTTATACTTCCTAATAAGTTGCCATTTCCTTAAGAGATTTGTTATGAAAAGTTATTTTTATACCAGCATCCTTCTGTATGTGATAAAATATGTTCATTTTTTATAAATCACTTAAATATATTAAATATTCTTAAATACTCTATGGATAACTGATGACAGAAATATCCCAGAAACATTGCTTTAAAATGGCCATCAAACACAGAAGCAGGTTTTTTGGTAGTTGATCGTTTTTTTTTTTCAGTAGTTGACTGAATGTGGCCATTTGCCCTAAAGCAATTTTAAAGAATATCTTTAAAGTTTTGTTGTGCATTTTACTGTAGAGCCAACAGAAGTTGGGGATAAAGGTAACTCTGTATCAGCAAATCTTGGCGACAACACAACAATTGCTTCTTCAGAAGAGACTAGTCCCTCTGAAGGGAGGAGCCCTGTGGGGTATCTCTCAGAAACCCATGATAGCAGCAACATGGCAGAGAAGAAGGTGGCATCTGAGCTCCCCCAGGATGTGCCAGGTACAGAGGGCAGTGTATCAATGCCTCTGTAATGGGGGGAATCCTTCCATTTTGTAGTAAAAGCAGAATGTCACCTAAACTTTAAAGTATGTGTTCATTCATGCTGCTTGCTTACAGTGCCATCCCTTATTGCTAAATTTTGTCACCTAACATTTGGAGTTTGATAAATGTCCTTACAGTTAGTGCTTGAAACTCATCATAATTTTCATGCTTCTTAAACTTCATTTAGCCATTTTTTCTTTAATAGATTTATTTGTACTTATCATCAGACCATAGTGGCAGATAACATTGGTTTTATTTACATACTAATGGCTCAATGTTGAATAATTTGACCCTTCTAGTTCTGTATATACTAACAAATTAATTTTATGTTTGCATGTGCTCAATGTAGTTTTTATGTTTTTACCACATTTCAAACCATAGTGTTATAAAATCATCATCACAAAATATTTGTGCGAGGTGTACTTTGACATAAAAATGTAAGCTAACCAGTAATTCATACTTCGTGCTTTTTTGTTTGTTTGTTTGAGACAGAGTCTTACTCTGTAGCCCAGGCTAGAGTCCATGGCATGGCGTCGTCATAGCTCATAACAACCTCAAACTCTTGGGCTTACGTGATCCTCTTATCTCAGCTTCCCTAGCAGTTGGGACTATGGGCGCCCGCCACAATACCCAGCTAGTTTTTCTATTCTTAGTAGAAACGAGGTCTCACTCTTCTTCAGGCTGGTCTTGAACTCCTGAACTCAAGCCATCCTCCCGTCTTGGCTTCCCAGAGTGCTAGGATTACATGCATGAGCCACTACGCCTTGCCTCAGTTTTAAGCTTTTTAAGATTAAAAGTATACTTGAAGTATAATCCAGAATGTCATTACGCTTTTCTTTTTGCTTTCTAAAAATGTAAGAGAATTTTATTATAGCTTTGTCTGTTTTTTGAAAAATTAAAAGGAGCAAAATAAGTCAGTGAATATTGTCAATCCTACC